GCAGTGCTATTTAAAACTCACCACCTGTACCAAACCACCATCTGCACCTTGACCCCCACCCATTCAGTGAAATAAACACATACTTGAGTTTATATAGATGATGACAAGCATAATAAGATATCAGTGGAAAAGATCTGACAATAGAGATGTTATTTGTAGTCATGGGCCCAAAGGACCTTCTAGGGTTTATTCTTCTGTCTCCAGGTTGTAATACCTCCAAATTTTCTCTGTTTGTAATGAATGCTTTGGGAGTGACAAATGCATATTCAAATTTGAAGGGTGCATTCTAATTGGCTTTCAAGTATTTCTTGCTCTTGAAATAATGAAAGCATGAATGGTGGGAAATACAAATCCAGGATACAGAGAATAAATACTCCAAAAGCTTCACAAGTCCTCATAAAGCTATCTTAATACAAAATTATTAACTGGGCTTCTGGGTTTTTGGACTTGGAGGCGTTTTTTCCCAAGGGCTAATTTCTTCGAGGTGAGGCTTGGGAAATCTCACTCCAGAAGATAACTCTCTTTGACAAAACGCTGCTCCCACCCTGACTTTGTGTCAAGCTGTAGAAAATGGCAGTGGAAGGATATTTTCCCAGATTCTTTGTCCCCATTGGAAGCAAAGCCCTTTTCAAGCTATGATGCTTACACGATGATGACATTTACAGTCCATCTTGCTTAGGTACAGTGAATACTCTCACATCTTTGTGTCCCTGAGAACACTGGCCACAATACACAGCATTGGGAACACACTCCGGAAATCACAGTTTGCAGTGTAGAGCAGATGCCCAACAACTATTCCGTGACCAAGAAGGTCAATGTAAAGTGAATTAGTGAATTAACAAGGAAGCACATGTTTCTACCTGGAGTTTTTTAACCTTATGGTCAGCTTCTTGACCCCATAGGTCATGCCTCCTGGTCTGATCAGAACGGTGTAGCTTTATGAGTTTCTGTCTGTGCTTTGATACCCACCAGCCTGGTGTGTTGCGCTAGTAGGTGGCCAATCGCATTGAATGGACTGAGTTTGTGGGTAAAACGAGAAAAACACTTCAGCTTTCATAACTTTTGAATGGAGTTGGAGTATCAATACTGCGGATGCCTAGTTTAGGCCACATAGAATAGTCACATAGTGCTCTCAGTGGAGTCGTAGAAAATGGATACATTTTAGTTGAAAATCTTCTAAAAGCAATCAAAGAAGCCCTAAAAGCCTTTGATTGACAAGGCAGAATCAAGAAAAGGATTGAAACTTTAAGATGTGCTAGCCAGGAACGTGAGAAGTGGTTAGACCCCTCAGCTGCACATTAGCAAGATGGCTCCTAATCTTTACTTTCCATGCTTAGGGGGGCTCAACGAAGTCTCCTTTAGTCTCCTGGAATGAAATATAACCACGTTGAACTATGAAGAAGGAATGATGTAGGGACACATCAGTTTGGAAACACATGACTCTTAACTGTGCTGTTGAAGGCAGAGGGTGGAAATGCCATCAGGGTTTTAGGTTATCTCAGCTACCCTTAGAAAGAATGGACAACAATTTTTGATAAATACGGGTCAGCTGGGATTGCAGAATTTTTGAATGCAGCCTGGAAGTCATTCTGAGGTTTTAGGTTCTCTATCAAGTGGTCGAAATAGGAACAATGAAAACTTTGTCTTTACTTATTTTTTTTTTCTGGAGGGGGGGAGAGGAGATAATTTAAACTCTTACTTAGCATCTGCAGTAGGACAGTGGACTGTAAATAATCCAGACAACTTGAATCTGCTGCTGTGCTTGAATGTTTTTATGGTCCTATTTCCACTGTGATAAATATGATCATTCTCTCACTTGGATGCATATGCACTTTTGTGTATGGATGAGTGCAATCTCTACTTCACTGAACAGAGGTTGATAGATAAAGACTTGATAAAACAAAAATCTCACTAACTTATGCTCCACCAATTTTGAGTTTTTGATAATTTGGACAGGGACCAAGCAGAAGTTTCCTTTGGTATTATCCACAGCAACAGGGTTTACTGAGCAAGTTAGTAACACCGATAAGATTCAGGAAGAGTATTTTACTATGTAGGAGAAAACATAGCTTCCCATCAATTTTGGACGCATGCTTTCTGATACAAATATCTGTAGTGTTAAGTGCTAACAGAGTCTCCTATAGAATTATTCAGAAATTTTAAATTTTGAGTGATTAAGTACACCTGATCCTTCCTCATGGTTTCGAGTTACAGGGACTTAGCTCAAATTATGTGGGCCGTGTGGCCAAAGCTAGCTATAGCAGCCTCTCTAGCCTATGTACAATGGGCAGGAAGTTCTTAGACTTAACTTTTGTCGGTGAGCCCAATACTCTAGGCTATGGTGTTAGTGGAATGCTAGTTACTAACAGAACTTCTTTGGAGTCACCAGTGTGTCCTGTGGAGGGCTAAGCATGGAAGAAGCAGGTGGGCGTGGGAGGAACAGCACATTGATCTCTGATACCTCATAACCTAAAGTCTCGACTTGGCCTAATGGAAAATAATTTTGTCAGGAGAATCACTAAACCTTGTATTTTTAAAAACATATTTGTGCAGTGCTCAATACCAGTGGGCATATACTGATGGGTGTTGGGAGGATCCATTCTATTTTAGAGATCAGTGTTCATTACCAACAGATGGTGTCTTGGTTGTTAGCAGCACTGTACCTGAAGTCCATTTTAATGCCATATTAGAACAGTTAGGGTTTGGGGGAAGAGTTTCTTCACTTAGTACTCAAGACTTTGTCCTTGCCTTGAACACAGGCTCTTATATAAGCTTAGTGAATGTTCACATAGGACGTTTCAGACATTTTTGGAAAGGTGGGACATTTGGCTATATTTTTTTAACCATTTGTAGTTGATATAGGATGACAAGCAGAATTATCCATGGTGGAGTTTTTTAAATTGATATTTTCCTGTCCTATTTTAGAGCACTTGGTGTTAAGCTTTCAGTTCTACTGTGATTTCTTCCATGGAGGTTGTGGAGATTTTCATGCACCGCCCTGGTCGTGTTCCTCACAACCCGATGGGAGCTTCTCTTTCCTTTCATCAGTGATTTGCTATCTGACAGTCTCCTTTTATTTACCTTCTGCTAGGGTGATGTTCGGGACCCTACAGAGTACTGAGCAGAATCTCCAGGGAAATCTGGCTTGTCCCAAAGCAGGCAGTATGTGCTTGGAAGTGTTAATATGTAAAGAATTGGGGTTGTAGACTTACAAATTTATGAAACTAATTAAAAGGAGCTAAGATGCTTTCATGAGTGATGTGTTTGCAAACCTGAGAACTTGTTTGGGGAGTTCTTGGACTGAAGTTCAGAATGGATGGCTGTGAATTTCTCAAGCCAAAAATGACTTGAGTCAGGTAAACTTGGTATACCTAACTTGTAAAATACGTATCTCAACGTGTGGTTTAGTAGGCGAGGCACCTGGGGAGTAGAGAAATGGGGTTATTTCAGGAAATTGACCTAATTTAGCTTGTGTGAAGTGCATGTAAGGCATTTCATGTCAGTTGCAAGAGGTAATTGGAGGGAGTGTGGAAGCAATTCTAGCCAATCAGAAGGACAGTGTTAGACTGTGATTATAAAAATGGCTGCTCTATAGTCTTAATTTCCATGTAGTCTGGAGCACAAACAGATCTCACACTCACTTGTCCAGGTTCCCAATTTAACCCTGGATGAAATGCCTTGTATTTGTCCATAAATGGCTAGATATATGTCCTAAAGGTGTTCAGATAGTATTTTCTGGAAAACAGAATATAAGACTGAAAGCCTACTAGAAGTTGTTCCATGTGATTTTCCCATTGCCTGTATTGGTGGTCCAGTTATACTGTAAGGCCCCATGACCATTCTCCTCAGCACACTGTCCTAGAGAATCTACCGGTGATTCCACTTTAGACAGGTGAATATGGACATAATTGTAGGTATGAGGAAAGCAGGACTAAAAGTCCAGAAGATGGTATTGTTTAGTGCATAATTCACCCATGTTGAGCATTACCAATTTTTCCCTAGGCCATATAATGACGTATTAAGAAACAGAAGTAGGGGCACCTGGGTGGCTCAGTCGGTTGAGCGTCCAATTTCGGCTTGGGTCGTGATCTCACGGTTTGAGTTCAAGCCCTGCGTCAGGCCCTGTGCTGACACCTCAGAGCCTGGAGCCTGCTTCAGATTCTAGGTCTCCCTCTCTCTCTGCCTTTCCCACACTTACTGGAAGAATTGGGATTCCTTAGAGTATACCAGGTCATCTTGGCTTCTTGGGGCTGGAGATAGCCAAGTCTTTGATGTCTGCTTTAAGCAGTGATAGGTTAGACCTCCCACATGGGGTAGAATGTGTAGACTTCACACCTAACTGGAAATGGAAAGAGGTAGATTGATTTACATTTCTGTGGCCTGCGTATGAAGTCCTCTAGATTTCTGGATATTAAGAGCTATTCGTAGGTTTTTGGTTTGAGGGCTGCCTAGTGCCTCCACTCTCGTATTTACTTACTATGGTTGCCCTGTGGGGTCATTCTATGATAGGAGGATTAGCACATTATATGCACACACTTGAGACACTGTTCATTATGCTCTCAGCTATTTACTGAAAGTCTTCCAAGTGTTTAATGATTTCAGCTGAAGTGGGGAAATTAATCACAATGGAATCTAGTATTGTAGTGGAAAGGAGATTTAGTGTATGGGAGTCGAATGTGAGTTCTATCCAAGCATTTATCTAATAGCTTAAATGATTTTTCTTGATTTTTTTTCCAGTAGCTGCCTTGGCGTGGAAATCAAGATTCTTCCCTCATGGTAACTATGGACAGCTCTTAGACGATATTGGTTTTATCTCTAAATAGGTGGACATCCGGAACCTGAAGAGGCTCTAGTATAAAACCAACACTAGAAACAGTACCATTCTTATAGGGAACTAAAGAATCATTATTTTGGTGTTGTCTCCAGAAGTGAGCTTGCAAAACAAAGTGGAACTTCAAGATTATCAATAATTAAGGATACCTGAATTGTATTTGTAAAGTATGGCTACTATAATGGCACACGGCTTTGTCCAAATGTGGAGCAGGAAGATGGGGATGTCTAGGCTCAAAGAAGCATACATTGGATCAGTGGAAAGAAAGAAGATTAGACTGCTGGTCTGTTTCAGCAGTGGAGAATATACAACTTTTCAACTAAGCAATATTAAAAATGTGGTATTTAGATCCTCTAGAGAAAACCAAAATCGCGTGCATTTAAATTTCCAAAATAATAGCTTCTTGTTTATTGAAGGATTATCTTCCAGAGATGCTGAAGAGTTGAAGATGTTCCTGGATAGATTCCGTCAAAATAACACTCAACCATCCATGAAACATGTTAAGGATGGAGGGATCTCTGCCAGCACAGCAACACAGAATGAAAGCAACAAAAGTGCATTTCACGAAACGTGTAATAAGTCAAGTAGTGGATCTTTTGAGACAGGAGAAGGAAGTGGAACACCTGACCTTCAGCAAATGCCTTTGTGTGCATCACAGTCATCAACACTTACTTGCTATGATTTACCAGGAAATGGACATGGGAAGAAGAAAAAAATGTTATCATCTGGTTCAGAGATGGATGGGAAATTCCCGAAAGAGGCTAGCTGTGTAAGAGATAAGAAGTCCAAGACAAATCCCTTGGGGTATGTAAGCCACTATAAGAAGAAAAAATTCAGGTTAAAATTGTTAAAAAGTAAGAAATTAAAATTTGAACAGTTATTCAAGACCAGTTCTACCGGAAACCCTTACCTGAATAGCTCTAGTCTTCTCCAGATGCTTTTTGAGAAAATATATTTGGCATTTTTGTTGGAAGCAAAGTATAATGCCGATAAGTCAGAGTGGGACAGACTCAAGATGACCCTTGAGTTCTACCCAGAGAAACTATTGCAAGGCCTCCCCAATTTGGGAAACACCTGTTACATGAACACAGTTTTACAGACCTTATTTTCAATTCCCTCATTTACTGATGATTTATTCAGTAAGGATTTCCCATGGGGTAAAATTCCCTTTGATGCTCTTAGCATATGTTTAGCACAGCTGTTTGTTTTGAAAGATATTTATAACATAAAAATCAAGGAGAGGTTACTTATGAACATTAAAAACACCATATCATCAGTTGCAGAGATTTTCTCTGGCAACGTACAAAATGATGCTCATGAGTTTTTAGGTCACTGTTTAGATCAGATGAAAGAGAATATGGGGAAATTAAACACCATATGGAAGGCTAAAATTGAATCTGAAGAGGGGAATCCGGCTCAACAGATCTTTGCTGGAAGTGCTGCCACCCGAGCGCTCGTTTGCCCTGTCATCAGTAATTTTGAGTTTGAGTTGCTGCGCTCTATTACTTGTCAAGGCTGTGGTCATGTTGTTCTCAAGACCGAAGTGAATAATTATCTCTCCATCAACCTTCCACAAGGAATGAAATCACTTCCTTTGTCTATTCAGTCTGCTTTTGATCTCTTCTTCAGAACCGAAGACCTTGAGTATACCTGTGAGAAATGTAAGCATAAGAGTTCTATTGGAAAGCACAAATTTAGTAGGTTGCCCAGGGTCCTTATTGTTCATCTGAAACGTTATATCTTTAATGAGTTTTGGTCACTAAGGAAGGATGACCGGGAAGTCACTATTTCCACGTGTTTAGAGGTATCGTCTCATTGCACTGAAAGTACCAAACCGCCTTTTCCCATGAGCAAGAATGTGTTTACTAGGGATTTCCAAATCCTAAAAGTCTTTCAAAGCCTGAATTTTGAAAACCACTTTCTATCAACGTATTCAGGAAAGCTGACCTTGGCATCCAATGATTCCCTGATTCCACACATTGGGCCAGACAAAGAGTCTGAACCACAGAAAAGCCAGAATCTCTGTGAAGGGTCAGAGGGAGAACAGAAAGAAGACCTGGGGAAACGTCCTAAACTGAATGTAACAAAGTCTGAATTGGTAAACTTAGGAAAGGGAGCAGTCCCTAAAAAAGAGCTATTAGCTGCTGGCTTAATGACGGATCTTGAAGCAACGCCCCGTTCTCAGATCCAGGAAGATGAAGGTAAACCCACCAGTGGTCCAGACAAGTGTCTTGCAGAAGGTTATCTTCGAGACATATTTAAAAATCTAAAACGAAAGAAATCGGAGACAACTAAGAAGCTTAGCAATTTCAAGAGTGGCACTAAGACTGCTGAAGGTGTTTATAGATGTGAAAAAAAAAGAATTCCAAAAGAATTCCAAAAACTGAGTAATCAGACCCAGCAGGATGACTGGATGAAAATCTATGAAGAAGCCCTTCAGCAGGCACTGCTCCGAACCTTCTTGAAGCCACGTGCCCAGTGGAACGGAAGAAAACTCAGAAGACCTGCAGAATTAAATCCCCAGGAGGCCAATGAGAATTCCCAAGGGGCACCAGATTCTAATAAACACTCTGGAAACAAAGAATTTTTAGATAAGGAGAAGTCAGAAACTGAAGCCACAAAACCAAAAAGCAGTGCTAAGATGAGCAATCTCTATCCCTATCGGCTCATTGCTGTTGTCAGCCATCTTGGGAAGACCCCAAATTCAGGCCATTATATCAGCGATGCCTATGACTTTGAGAGGCAAACGTGGTTCACTTACAATGATCTACAGGTATTGAGTATCGAAGAGCCTCTCCTGCAGGAGGCTAGGCTTTGCTCCGGGTACATCTTCCTTTACATGCACAATGATATTTTTGAAGAGCTGTTGAAAAGGGAAGAGAACTTACAGTCTTGTAACACAGAGGCAGGGGAGACCCCTCAGGAGAAATAAGTGGAACAGACTCCTGGTTGCACCCATCTGCTTGACTGCCCATTGGTAACCACTTCCTCTATGGAAGGAAAACTCCACTCTAGCCGAAGATGAATAGGCACATGGCATCCAGGATCAGAGTTCCAGGATCAGAGTTCAAGCAGAAACACTTGGAAAATTTCTATTCTAACCCTAATACAGACATTTCAATCTCACAGTTCCAGCTGTGAGAGATAAGTAGTCTTTTCTATTAAACTAGAATTGTGTTCTTCATACTCTAGTGCAGTGAATTGTAAGTGCAGCCCTTAAACCAGCAGCATCAGGATCATCGAGAAACTTCTGAGAAATGCAAATTCTTGAGTCCCATCACATAACTGCTAATTCAGAAACTCTAGTGGGGAGGTGTTGGGGTGGCTGAGGATAAGGAACAGCAATTTGATGGAGATTCCATCAGATGCTTGAGAAATTTAGAGAACCACTGTAGTGTGTTAGAGTATCTTGGTAGATTTTGCTGTTGTTTATTTAGTTATATTTCTTAAGGAGTTTGATTACATTTTTCGTTTCTTATATTCATGTATACCTTTCCTTCAGAAACTTATTAAAAACGACACACACACACACACACACACACACACACACACAGAAATCACTCCTCTGCTGTTCATACTCAGTGATTTGATGAAAAAAAAGTTTCTGGAGTCCTGACCAAAAACAAAACCAAAAACCAAAAACAAACAAAATTGATGAGGTTCTGGCAATAAAGAAAATAGTTGGCTGTGGTCTTGTCAATAAATAAGTAAAGCTGGTAATTTATGAATCTTCTTGGGCATATGCAAATGAGACTGTGACACCAGGTCAAGTCTCCAGATTGTTTGCTAAACTCCTCCTCTTCCTCAGTACCAAAAGGGTTATACACACTCAAGCTTAAGGATGGAGAATTTATTTGCCCTCAAGAAATTGACCCACTTTTTCTGTTTGTCTGCTATCCAGGTGTTCGTGGTGTCATTCTAGTCTTCTCCAAGAGGCACTTGATTTGCCTCAAAGGAATATTTATTTGCCATAACTTTTATCTGAAGCCTTGAACCATCCTCTGCATTCAACATTGTAAGACTAATTACAGATTTCTTTTATTTCTCCGAATCTTAAGGCAATGGTGACCTTATTCCTTCAAGGAATAAACACAAAATGCACACTTTAGAGTGGACCTGTATGACTTGAAAGTGTTACTTGTTACTGATTTTTTATGTCATGAAACTTACACCTGTTTGAGGTGCCTTTGAGGCAGGTACGCCTTGGCTTTGTTAGGAACAAATTACTGATACTAAGAGGCTTTCTCACATCACATGGAGGGACTGAATTTTTCGTTCCACCTTTACTTACATGGGCGTCCCTCCTTGTTTCTAGGGTGTGGGCTTGGTAGGGTTATATTAATCCAACAGTTTGTACTAATCCCAGAGGCCTTTAAAGAGGTGAGTTGGAATGTAGTGGTGTGGGGAAGTTAGAAAATGCCCTTTAAGGGAAAAACCAGATTAGAAAGTTAGGAATTCTATAGCTCACAGCACAGTGCATCTAGAAGGAGGTCTGAGTGAGATCTGGAGATTGTGAGGTAGATGGAAGCAATTTTCTAGATTGAATTAATCAGTCTCATGAAAGAAAGTCCTTAAGACAGTGAGGGGAAGTTTATTCAACTTGTGTAGTACTTCAGTAGCTGTGGTGGTTGAAGGTTAAGGCTGGAGTTACATACATTTAGAGTAGGGGAGGGACAGTTCGGTTTCACAATTCCAGGCTTTTGACCTCTCTAGAATAGTTAAATGTGAGCTCAGTTACATAGGCATCAAGGCAGGAGTTTTGGTAGGAGTGAGTGAAAAGTTATTTTATATTTGAAAGGAGAATGAAGATGCTAGTACGTTTGAGATTTAGAAATGCTTGGTGTGGAATATAGAGTATTATAATCCTTAATATGCTGCTGTTCTGAGCACTTCCCAAATGCAGGCTCAGCTAAAAGGAGAAGATGATGGTTGGGATATCTGGGATGGGGAGGGTCTGTCCTTCTGGACAGATGGCTTGGGTGGAACCCATCATTGCCCTGTGAGGAAAAAATTTGGGGTGCACAATGAGCAGCTGCATGCCATCTGCCTGTTATACTGTTACTTAAATAAAAGATTAAAATAATTCTTGAGTCAGTGGTTGTTACTTATTAATGGATTTTAATTAATTCTCTAATTTACAGATCAGATTTCTAAGTAATCCATTGATATAAAACCTTTCTTTGACAGTGTATTAGTTTTCTATTGCTCCTGGAACAAATTTCCACAAACCTAATGGCTTACAACAACATGACCTTATTATCTTATGGTCCTGGAGTTCGGGAGTCCAAGATGGTATCGCTGGGCTCAAATCAAGATGTTGACAGTCCTTCTGGATGCTCTGAAGGGACAATCTATTTTCTCACCTTTCCCAGCTTTTAGGGGCTTCCCCATATTTTTTGACTCGTGGTTTCATTCCTCCACCTTCCAAGCCAGTGATACCAGGCTGAATCCCCACACTGCCATCTCTGGCTCTCCCTCCTCTGCCTTCCTCTTCCACTTTTAAGAATCATGGTGATACTGGGCAAGGCCAGATAATTGAGGACAGTCTCCCTACCTTAAGGCCAGCTGATTAACAACCTTAATTCCCACTTGTTTTGTAATAATAGATTCACCGGTTCCTGGAGTTAGCATCTGAACATCTTACTGGGGCCCTTACTCTTCCTACTGATAGTAAAGTTAATGGAAAACTATTTTGTCACAACAACAAAAGGAGCAGGCTGATTTAGGACTCAGACACTTGGGAAATGGTTTTGGTCACTCCACCAGGTAAAGAACCCAAAGCACCTAAGGTTTTGGCCAAGAGCAAGGGAAAATTGTAATTGGTAATTAAGGAACTAACACCTTGAGACCAATTACAGAAACAAGGGCTACAGTGGCTTTGCACATTTTCGCTATTATATGTGCCTATTTGTGTATACTCACCATTCTCTTTTTCTCTATTCTGCTTCCTATATTTTATGCACAAGTTATCGAAGATTTACTTTACAGTTTAGTCTTTAGGTAACGGAATACTTGATGGGTGCCCGACTGACTTTGAGGAATAATTAATAAAGCCCATGATGGGCACCAATGACTTGGGGGCTCTGAGCCGTCTAATTTGGGAGAACAGTGAAAACATACAGAAGTCCTGTTATGTCTAGAAGGTGGAAATACGAGTTGTTTGCTGCCATAAGAGGTCAAAACGTGTAAAGGGGTGCATATGGAAGCTGGGTAACCCAAAGGGATAGGCTGTGCACTTAACCAACATACTGCCTCACAGCTCCAAATTTGCCCTTTTGTGCTAATGGACAGAATGCCTTTAGGCATTTCTTTTTTACACTGAGCAAATGTTGAACTTTTCAGTAGATGGTGTGAGAGGTACATTGCAAGGGGAAGGGGCTCCCTTGCTGTTTCCAGTTGTTGAGGTAGGTTAATAATGTAAGCTGTGACTGGGTGTATGTATCTGGTGATGCACTAAACCAGCCACAGAACCAGAATGTGTGGTCCCCTCATGACCTCACAGCTCTAGCCTGGTCTGGTGATGACTTTCCCGATGCTATCTCAACCTGGACACCATGAATTCTAGGGATCTGGCCTTTACCCATGCCTTGATTCCCTTTGATCTTATGCCCTTCTTAGGTTTGCATTCCATGGCCCTTCTAATGCCCAGCCCTCTTGACAGGAATCCACATACTCCAGGCTTCCTGCCACGCCAGCACCCTTAGTCCTTCTGCATGACTGCATACCTGGCTGTTGGCTCTAGCCCTACTGGTGCCCGAAGGGTTACCACTGGGGACCCCACTCTCTCTGTGTGCTCTTGTGTCCAGGAAGTGGCTGAGGCTTGTCTGTGTCCTGACTATTCCACTGTACTCCAGATGATTGTTTTCCTGCTTGCCCAGTGACCACGGACCACATCTGGCTCAGGCCAACCAGCAAACTTCTCTGCCATGCAGTGGGCTGCAGCTACATCATCGATGAGATCTGAACCCTAGCCCCAGAGATCTGGTCCCTTTCCAAAATTTGCCCTTTTTTGGATACTTTCCCTCAGCCCTAGGATACAATAGCGGTTTTTCTTGTATCCTACAGTTAACTCTTATCATAGGTTAATAATTCTTTATATTAAATTTCTTTTTAAATACCTAGTTTATATCTTTTGATTAGATGCAGACTGATACAGAGGCTGAGCATGTCGGGTACTCTGGCTCTACTATTCCAATCAAATCCAAAGACCTTAATGTGAGTTTCTGTGTTCTGATTTTATTTAGTATTCCTTTTTTGGTGCAAAGAAGCCTGAATAGAGAACCATAACACTCTGGTTGCTGGTGCAACTTCTGGGAAGAGGTGACTAAGATATCAAGAAAGCACCTCTTCTTTTAATGCTCCATCTGCTGTGTGGATAACAGTAACAACTGCTAGATGGTTTTATGGGGTGATTGCAATACAGACAGGTTCACGTGTGTCAATGACAAGGGACCTTGGGCCAGAAGAGCACTCTAGTGTCTACATTCACCCTTTATCAACCTGGTTATATTTCTGCTCTCTATGTTGACCCCACTTAGTAAAAATATTTCACAAGAGAATTCTTAGCAAAGTATGTTTCAGTAGCCTAGCAGAGTGGATTATTTCCTCCACTGAAAGTTTGGGTGGCTGGCACGCAACGGTGAGACAATGACCTCTAGTCAAACCTGATCGCCACTTTTGATTCAGTGGTGGTGCAGAAGTGGTGCAAGGAGACTCACATCTGGCACCAGGTGCTGGGTATCACAATGCTGGGCTGCAATAGCACCAGGTCCATGCAGGACGAGGACTTCCCTGTCTGCAAGGGAGTTCTAGCCCAGGCCCTGGCCTGATGCCCACCCCCTCATCCCAGAATCTGCCACTGTCCTGAGATTCACCTGCATCAGGAGTTAACCAGGTACTCTGCTGAAAAAAAAAAAATCTGGGTGGAGGCACCTGGGTGGCTCAGTCGGTTGAGCATCTGACTTTGGCTCAGGTCATGATCTCACAGTTTGTGGGTTCAAGCCTCGCATCGGGTTTGCTGCTGTCCGCGCAGAACCTGCTTCGGATCCTCTGTCTCCCTCTCTCCCTACCTCTCTCCCACTCACATTCTCTCTCTCAAAAACTCAATAAAAATTTTAAAAAATCTGAAAGTTTCGTACTTGAGATTACCACCCGCCAGGCTTCCGTTTTAAACTTAATGTATTAATTCTGAATTCTGTGTGGCAGGCTGGCCACTTGGAAACTCAGGCAGAGGTCCGTGTTGCAGCCTGGAGTCTGAGATCCACAGGGCATGCTGGCAGACTGGAAACTGCTGTCGTCTTGAGGCAGAGTTTCTTCTTTGGCACACGGATTTGCTCCTAAAGTCTTCAACTGATTGGATGAGGTCTATCCGCATTATCAAGGGTAATGTCCTTTAAGTAAACTGATCATAAGTGTCAGCCATGTCTCCAAAATACCTTCC